TATCCACGTCATCATTTACCCAGAATGCTTTGTGTGTAAATAAAATTGCCCCGTCAGTGTAATATATTTTAAAACTTTGAAAATTGTAAAAACTGAACATCCTACAGTATTTTTAGTCTTTGTTTTACAGTTAAAATATATGTTTACTAAATAAAGCCTAACGTTACAAATAATATTGGATCCCTTTAAGTTTGTAAATTTTTGTTGGCTAAGTATAATTAGCTGTGGCGGCCATCTTTAAATTAGAATAATAAATATCCATGACTTGTACAAACAGTATTAAAATACACCCATATTGCTACCAGAGTTGACTTTATGATTTAATGGTAAGTTTTTAATCAAGATGTTACACAATCAGATTAATGAAATTCTAACCAAAACTTCTCCAGTTCAGGTTTACAGAACCAGTTCTTTGTGTCCCAGAAGTGTTGTGTTCACACAACTGTCTGTTTCACTTCCTGCAGGTGATGAAGACGAGGGCAGTGAAGAAAATGATGATGAGGAGGAGGAAGATTGTTTGAACTCTGACTTGCAGCCCGCACCCAAAAGATCCAAAAACACCTGAAATTTTTGTGTATTCGTTTTATTTGTTATAATAAAGTTTCAGTGGTAACCAGTGTCTCGTGTCACTAAATACAGTAAAAACTATCTGAAAACACTGGTCTCTAATTGGTTGGCAGTGTGATAGACAGCTGCAGTGCACGGTGGATCCTGACAGTCCATTCTGAGGGCAGCGCAAAGTTCAAGTCTTGGCTCGTCTGTTGAAAGGCACACAGGAAGTGACATCATGTCCGTGTCTACATGTGGAGAAGCAGGCCAGCTCTGTGACTGGCTGGTTTAGTGACGTGCCAGCGGCTCCACAGCAGGACGATGCAGACAGGAAGTACACAGTACCCCACGGCGTGGGGGTTGGCTCTCGTGCACGAGAACAAGAAGAGGAAGAGCTGCAGGTACGGCACCAGGAAGATCAACGCCCACGTCCACGGAGGAAGCGGCGGCAGGTGGGCGAGGACGGCAGGGGGCAGAGCCAAAGAGTCGATGCCGTCTCGCTGCACGCGCTCAAGGCTGACCACCTCGAAGACATAAAAAGCTGCCATGATGCTGAGCAGAAGGTAAAGAGCCACGCCCACCCAGCCCATCCTCTGTCGGAAGTTCATCATCCTCCATACTGCAGGGACAAAACAAGACAATTACTGCCACAGATTAAATGTATTTCACATTAAAACAACTTCTATCTAATGAAATATCCAAAACATCAAATCAAAACCAGACTAATGTTCTGTTGACTCCAAATCCTGATTGTTCTGCAGGTTTTCACTGTGAACCAGCTTCAGTTCTCTGCTCCTTTAGAGTCTGAACCAGTCCTGTTTACTTTATGGATCTGGATCAGAGGGTCTCAAACTGGGCTCCATGAGAGGTATCTTGGGGGTCCTTAAAAAAATCACTAAATTGTTAATTTGATTTTTATTTTTAAAAGTGCATGACGCACAATGAACTAATAAAGATAACTAACTAAATAAAATATATATTCCCAGGGCATTTAGTGGTTGAAACGACAAATAATCTTTTAAAACAGCGTGGGGTTTATGAGGGGGTCCCTGGAATTTTTTTTTCACCATTTTAAGGGGTCCCCAGACCCAAAAGATTTGAGAACCCCTGATCTAGATTAACCTAAATCACTAAAGTGAGCTGCTTCATTTCAGATAATCATTTCTTTTTAATTTCATTAAAGGGATCCATGATTAGTTGTAACATTAGATTTTATTTAAGAAACATATTTTTAATGTAAAATAAAGACTAAAAATACTGTGGGCTGATTAGTTTTTATAATTTTTTAAACTAAAAGTTTAAAATATATTTTAACACAAACAGGGCCATTTTATTTACTCACAAAGCATTCTGGGTAAATGATGACGTGGATAGGTCCTCGGTGCGAGGCTGCTAGCGAGCTATATCCACC